GCCCCCCCCCCCCCCCCCCCCCCCCCCCCCCCCCCAGCCGGAACACCACACAGAAGCAGGAGCACGACAAACAGCCAAGGAGGGGACTGAGTTCACCTTCACCTGTCTCAGGTGACCTCCCTAGGTCTCTGGTATGCTGAGAACCCATGGTTGGTAGAGTCCCTGTGTGCCTGCTTCCCCCAAACCTCTCCGAGGGAGCAGGGGTGGCTGGTGTGGGAGGAGTCGGGGTATCTGTGCCAAGAATGCAAGGAGCCAGCTCAGAGGGGGAAACTAAGGCGTCAGGGACACTAGAGCACCCAGCGTCCCGGCACAGGAGGCCGCGGGTCCTCAGGGTACGGTCACATTCTGCCACCAGGTGCTGTCCAGGACGTCCTGAGCACAAGGTGATGGGGTGTCAGGGTGAGGTCAGCACTGGCACCCGCTCCAGCTGTAGTGACAGCTCTGCTAAGTCACTTTTTGGGATCGTTAGGCAGAGGTGTCAGTTGACGGTGGCTTTCCAGAAGGCTCTGTGGGTATTTGGGCTGAACTCCAGACCGCGTTCTGGACCATGCGGGGCTGGTCACTGCCTGGTTGGCCCCAGTGAGGACCCTACGCTGTCAGTCCCTCACCTCACCCGCCCACGCCCTGGGGTCCCCGCCCCTCAGGGACAGAACAGCCCAGGCACACGTTTCTTTGTCCATCCTTTGTTTTTAAAGCACCAGAGCCAATGGCAAGTGTTCCCGTGACAGCCGCGCAGCTCGTGTCATTTAGAGGGCCGGGTGATCATGCGCGTGGAAAAGTCGAAGAGGTCCCGGTTGATTTTGCGCAGGTTGCGCACCTCCTCCTCCAGCTCCAACACGCGCACTGGCAGCATCTGATTGCCTAGCATGTTCTGTGGTGACAGGGGCGTGTGGGTGAGGCCGCTCTTGCCCGATCCGCCCAGGCCCCTCCCACAACCAGGACTAACCCCGCCCACCTTCTCCACATAGCCGGATAGTGCTGCCTGCAGCTGCTCCAGCCGCTCCAGGTAGGTCTGCTCAGTGCCCTGTAAAGTGGTATGGTCACCCCATTGTGTCCCGTGTCACACAACGGAGCACTCTGGACACTAGGTACTCAGCCTGTGTACCACCCTCTGTGGAAGGGCCAGACACCACCCGCTTGGACCGGGGAGATGCTGAGGACAAGGGGCTGGGTAAAATCCCTCCCTTCGGGTGCTTGCCCATCCCCAGCTGCTGTCCTCAGGCTGCCCCAATGGTCTATCCTGCTCTATTCTTTAAGACCCAAGTGACCTGCTCACACACTGGGAGCAGTATGACACACCAGCCTTTGAATGTGGGCCGATGCCCAGTGTGCTCTCAGACAGGAGTCAGTTGTGTGAGCAGCCGTGGGTGCCGACGACCTGGCAGTAACTCAGGTCTTTAAATGATGGCGCCAGCACCAGGGGTCTCCGGGGGCTGGAACGTCAGGCTGGGTGAGTACCTGCAGGTGGAGCCCTAGCTGCAGGCGCAGGCCCCCCCCCTGGGCCTCATCTCCATGCTCCGCACCCAGCAGGTGCTTGTTGAAGAGGGGCAGGGGCAAGCTGGGCTTGAATTCAGGGTTCAGCATGCTGGGCGGGGCCAGGATGATGGCTGCATTGGTCACTGGGCCTGAAGGACACAGAACACCAAGTCAGCGGCTGGCTGCCATGCGGGCCAATGTGCT